GAAACCCTATATGCAGGGTCGCTATGGGTTGGAACGGACTCCACGGAACACAATCACCACCACCACCATATATATGTGTATATATGTATAGATATAGATAGATAGATAGATAGATAGAGATACATATACACCACACACACACAAAAATGGTATATATATATAAAATCATACATATTTATACATGTCCTGGTGTGGCACTGTAGGATAAGTATTGGACTGTGAACCAACCACAAGGTTGACAGTTGAAACCCACCAGGATCTCCTTGGAAACCCTCTAAGGGTCTCTATGAGTGGGAACCAACTCGACAGCACTTAACAACAACAACAATATATGTATATACACACACAGATACACACAAACAATCAACAAATTCAACCACTCACTAAAATGTATTTGTAATGCCAAAATAAAAGCTCAGATCACTTTTGTGGGTATTTACAAACAAGTTCAGAGTAGGAGAAAATTTGCGTTTTCCAATGAAACTGTTCCCAGCCAAGGTCAAACAAGGTGACACTTCTACATTTTTGTTTTGTTTTCCATAAGTTAAAAAAATCAACTCGCTACCTTCACATTATCATAACTCTGCTTCATGGCAATGTGAACACTTAACCATCTTCACTCTGAGGGCAGGAGAGTGCAGACTGTTTGCACTACCTAGCACTCATACTATAAAGAAATGCCTCTTTTGTGGTCTGTTTAGAACCATGGTTCTACACATTTTTGTGCTTATTGGTGAGGATTTTGTTGCTTAGCATGGAACCCAAGTGTAATGTTGAAGCGTTACCTAGTGTGTTTGTACATAAAAAAAGGTTGTGAAGTGTATACATGTGCAAGTTAATCTTCATTGAGGCATGACTATTACAGGCCATGAGTTCAGTGTTACTGAAAGAGCAATGTATATGTTTCTATTGTTAAATTGTTGTTAAATGCTGTCGAGTCCTTTCTGACCCATAGTGACCATGTTTAGGGTTTCCAAGGAATGGCTGGTAAACTTGAACCACAGACCTTGTGGTTCAGACGACTTTGCAGTCCAGTGTATTAACCCACAGCGCTACACCAGGACTCCTTATATATTTATTAAGTGTGTTTAACAAACACACATACAACAAAATCTTGTATTGGTAGTTGATGAAAATGTGATCAGAAGCTCCCAGGAACCTAACTCTGTGTTTTCTCCAGGAACAATTGCTCAGTATTCACTAATTAAGTGTTCATGGAAACTTTATAAAACAAATGCAAATAATGAAAATTTACCATAGACAGTTGAGTCATCTACAGGAAAAGAGGCATATAAGATTAATACAGAAAAGAAAACAGAAAGTATAGAATGAGGTTACAAATAAGAAAAAAGGAGATAAGACAACAGAGAAAAAAAAAATGGAAAGGGCAGAGGACTAAAGAAAGTAGAAAGAGAAAGCTCATTTATCCTAGGATTGGACCTTGAACTTCCGTCTTTTCACTATTTCCTTAACACTTTCCAAATGAGTATGTGAGGGGGCTTCAATGATAAGACAAATGGAATAAAAAGATTTTCCCCTGAGTTGTTGTTGTTTTTTTTTTTTTGAAGCACCCTTTTATGTTGTTCCAGTGACACCCACTACCCCAGAACTACAAATACCAATTGGCAGACTCCTGAGTGAGGTCCACTCACCATCTTGTTGCCCTATGATCCCCACAAGGTCGACAGAAATACAGCAATGGCCCACCAAAGATCATCTGAGTCAGCCCAAATCATGTTTTTGTCTTTCTTTTTTTCAATACCAATCTTTTGTAATTTGTCTGGACTCCAAGTGCCAGGATCCTGTTTAAATCATTCTAATCTTTTGTGCAATGGCTAAGTGATCTGCTGTTAACAGAAAGGTTGATGATTTGAATTCACCCAATGGGTCCATGGAAGTAAGACATGTTTATCTGCTCCTATAAAGACTACAACCAAGAAAATCCTACTCTGTCACATGGGGCCCCTATGAGACAAAATGACTCAACAACACCTAGCAACAACCATGTAGTTTAGGGAATGGCCTTATAGTCACAGAACTCTTTTGATTACTTTGAAATAAGTGTATACCCTGTTTAAGAGCTGGAGTATTTTCTCTTAGGGACTCTCATTGAGGTGGTCCAAATATCACATGACTTAAAAACCCTTTATAATTTGCCAATTAGTGTTATCGCTGTTTATTTATTTTCTGTGTTTTGTTTTGTTTTTCACATGCTGATGTGGGAAGCTTTAGACAGTGGCATTAAAACAAAGTGGTCATTAGTTTCCTTTTACAGGCCCTAACATACTTTATAATAGGACTCTGGTGGGATCTTAGATTTTAAATAAGACTTGCGTTATGTTGTGTAAGTCAGATTTTCAGAATGACTTCTTCTTTAAAACTTTCTCCCCTCTTGGGTCCACAATATGGTAGTTTATTATCAAAATACTGTTTATTCTCTTAAAAATAAAGCTGAATGTATTATTCTCCCACCCTATCCATTCCCCCTGTATTTATTTATTTTTATTTTGGAACAAAACATTTGAAAATCTAAACATAGATAACATGTTCATAAATGAATAATCATATTGAAAAAGGAATACTTCTTACCTGCCAAATTAACTTTTGGAGTATGTATATATCCGTGTCAAATGCAGCATTAAAGATAATTATTGGTGTGAATATACCAAAATATAATTTTGGACTCATCCATTGAATGGTATTTGTATAATCTTGGATCTAATAATAGTAAAAATAAGTCATTTTCTCATTTGTCCATCCCTCCATTCGTCTTATAAGCATAGAATACATGCCTAGTATCCCTATTTCTAACAAGAAAGGAAGATGATTACTTATCCCAGTTTGATAAATGCTAAAGTTTTAGTTACTGTATTTTCATAATTTCCATTCAGATTATTTGCAATTACAGAGGAAAGTCAGTGCATAAACTTATTTCCATTTTATTATATTTTTAAAATGGAAATTAGAAGTTCATTGACATGTAGAGAATATGAAGAGATTTCCAAAAGAAAACAGAGGTTCCAGTTATGTGGAATATCATGAATAAAATCACAAAGGAGTAAATCAACATATTAAATTTCAGAAAGTACAAATAGCCAAGGTGTATGTAGAAGATGTGTGTAGAATAATGGCATCAGTAGAGACTGCAAAATTATGCAGTTTATAAGTGAACTAATGACATCAAGAACTGCATACTGGAAGAAAGCAAAATGTCATTAAAAAGATAGGAAAGAAAGAAAAAACCTTAATGGATATCAGAAGAGACTCTGAAACTTGCTCTCCAGCATAAAGATGCTAAAGTGAATGGAAGAAATAAGTCAGAAAACTGAACAGACGATTTCAAAGGGCAGCTTGAGAAGACAAAGTCCATTATTAAAACGAAATGTGCAAAGACCTGGCGTTAGAAAACCAAAGGGAAGGGCATGTTCA